TTTCTTGGACTTATCCAGTCTTTACTGTGTACGGTAAAACGATGGCCGCGTTTATAAGAATGTCGCGCGTTCTCTGTATCGGGAACGATCGACGAACCGTTCATGGATCGGTGTAAAGTTTCGACTATACCGAACCCGTTAGTCGATGCGCCGGAAGCGAATGGAATCGTGGAACTCGGGCCGTTTCCATTTAGCAACCGCGCCGGAAGGGAATTTAAGAGTTTCAAGGGTGAAGATCGATCGATGAAACTTGGATGGGTATCTACGGTGAATTTAAATGGTCCGGCGAGGCGGGTTCGAGTTCGAGATACACGAGCAAACGAGAGCATCTTCGAAAGTAGTCGGTGAAACGAAGCTCGGCGGTACGTCAGGGTGGCGGAGTGAAAAAAAAAAAAAAAAAGAGAGAAGGCTGGTTAAATGGAGAACGAGGGAAACTTTTTCGAGCTGGTGATCCGCGCAACGGAGAAACTTTCGGGCAGCAGGCTCCGTTTATTCGTTCGTAACGGTTTCCCTGGAATCGAGGGCTCGAGGACGACGCTACTCGAAACATTACTCGAAAGGCTCGGTTGTGTTCCGGCCGAATTGATTTCTCGCCCGGGGAGAAACGGGAACAGGCGTACGAGAGAGCGAGCGGTTGGTCCGTTCGTCCGAATACGGCGCAACTCAATTTTCATTTCGTGGCAAGAACGCGAAATTGGGACGACGATGGTTCTCGCGTCGAACGAAATGAATTCGAATACGTGATGCATATTCAACGGAAGCCTTTTTCTCGTTGCTAAGAAAAACTCGAACTATCGCGGTACGGGTTTTGCTCGCGTCGAAAGAACCCAAGAGAAAAGGCTCGTCTTTTCAGTTTTGTTTTGAAACGCTGCTACTTTTAACAGCTATTTAATGCTGTTTGTACAGCGATCGCGGCACACGCGAGTTATCTCGATCGGATCGAACGCACGCCTGAACACGCGCCGCGTTTACCCGACTTACGTGTATGATCGATCGGGTATTATTTACACGGATCTTTCGATAGGAAAAAAAAAATCACCACGGAGCGATGGGACTCCTGCGTGCCCTCGTCTTTTCGTTTTTCGTTTACCGTCGCCTACGTCGAGCCGTTCAGTTTCGTTTCGACCGTCAACGAGCGGTAAGCAGAATACACGATCGTCGCGTCTTCCGTTTCGTTTTCACAGAAAGTAAGCGCAGCATCGAAGCTATCGTTCGCGAGCTTCTTTGGTATTAATCTTGGAATTCACGGGTAAAGCTTGGAAAAATATATACATTCCTGTCGTTTCGATTATTTCGACGATATTTGCATATCACGTCGACTGCCTAATTACTCGTGAAAATTTCTATCGCGATTGAACTTTATTTATCGATTATTTGAAACTACATAATCGAACATTTATTGTGATATTTATTTTTGTAACTTCATCCAAGTTCGACTGTTTCATTCGAATTCATTTACTTCGACGTTTAACTTTCAGAAGGAATTCTTTAAAAGCACTGTCACCTATATATGGGCGACATGGCGGACAACGTGATATCAGGGTGAACCAAGAATTCCTGTATTTTTTACGTTGTTTCAGTTTGTGCAATTTTTTCAAGTCATTAAAGTTACTTTATACGCAAGTGTTATTTTGCAGCTTTTTCTAGCATTTTGTAGCTTTTCGAAAGCTCTTTCGTATTTAATTATTAACTAAGTTAATTTATCGATCGTTTAATTTCTGTTCGTTTTAGTAAAATCATGGAAAATTGAGATTCGAGTACTTTTACGTCGCTACCAGAAACAAGAGGTTAAAGCTACTGAAGCACCAACGAAAATATTATATTCGGTAGGTTCGATAGTGAACGACGTCTGATTGTTTTCAATTACGGTTGAAACGGATGTACTTTTCTCGTGAAATAGAAGTTAAATTAAATAACGGTTATATTTATCTTCGGTGAAACCGTCTCGCCAAAATTCGAATTAAAATATATTTAATGAAATATGGCTCGTGACGAACGATCGACGCTGTCTGTCAATTTACCGCGTCGAACGTTGTTCGCGCTCGCCTGGAAATTTCACCGGCCGGCCCCGCGCCACTTCGAATTCGGTTTGACAAATATTGAAGTTCGAATTACCGTGAATGGAGTTAAACGCGAACCTGGAAACTTTTCATCTCCGAGGAAAAACAAAATTCTGCGGCTTAAATTACCATCCGGTTTCACCGGGGATACGCGAAACGGAGCGTGATTATGTTTCCGACGATACACCGCGTGAATCTTGGTTAACACGTGGGACGGCGCGGTGGTACACGCCATAATAGACAAACGAGCGTGAGCCACCGATTGAAACCATGGATACCATCAATTGGAAAATTTGGTAAAAGTACAGCCTTGCTGCACTCGCTCACGTCCGTAATATATCAACGTATCTACACGTACATTCGTGATACTCGAAAAACGATTGCTATTCTCTTCTAATGGTTTATAATTATCCGTTTTTATAACGTATCGTTTCAGCGAGTTCCTTCGTTGCATTTCGATTTAAATAGATCAAATTCACGTGAAAATCTGCACGTCGCATGAAAACCCGTGCTGAAATTCTAAAATTGTGATATCGTTTTTCATCAAATTGGTGCGGTCAATTTAAATCGAGATAGGCTCGTACGATTCGTATTTAATCAAAGAGCAATCAAGCGAAGTTTTGTTAAAAGCCTCCATTAAATAAATCCACGGGAAAACTATCTTAATCGCGAAACCGAATCAAGGAATCGAATCGAAATTGTCGTATAGCCGCGATAAATTAATCGGTTCGCCGGTAAGAATTACCTACTGCGACGCGGGAGTGGCGGTGGATCGTTGCTCGGCACGTGTTATTAATATTCCGGCGGTTCCATTAGCGATTCCCTCTCCGGACGGAGTGCAGTGTCATCGAGAAGAACGCGTCGCTTTAAATTTCATCCTCGACCCGGCGTTCCGCCAGTTCAAATATTTTCATTAAAGTAATTGATTTCCACGCCGCGTCGCGGTCGGTCGTTCCGCGCCATCGTCCTCGGATTTTACAACGATTCGGAACGATGCCGAACCAGATACGAGAAGAGGAAATCGAATCGAGTCAACGAACGCGGACGTTCGTACCGACAACGCTCTCGATCGTTCGTATTACTCAACTTCTTGCCATTCACGATACTCCTAGCCAAGTACCACTGTTCGTTGACAAATAATACGATCGATTTCTCTGCTTTCAATCATTGAGAATTTTGCGTACATTGAGCGTAGAATTTCAGATTTTAACGAATTATTGTAATGAGTTTATATCTCGGTAACGGCGTGGCCAATAAATTCTACAATATCGGTCTTTGATAACATATCAAATTTACAACAAATCTCTTCAATACATCTAAATCGAAAAAGTTCATGTGAAAATCTGTACGTACTGTAAGGACCTGCGTAAAAATTGCACAATGTTGATATCGTCTTTCATAAAACCGGTGCGGTAAATTTAAATCGAAATAGATTCGTACGATTCATATTCAAACGAAGAACAATCGAGAGAGGTTTTCGAAGTCTCTTGGGATCGAAATAATGGCAAGAAATCCAAAGAAAGAACGGTATGCATGATCGATGAACAACGAGTTCTAAGAACAAGAAGAAGAATAAATATTCATAGAATCGCGACAGAAATTACGTTAACGTCGTTCGAAATAGTACGTAGCATACGATCGTGGATTACTTACCGGAAAGCTGCATCCGACGTTCATGAACATATCCTTTCGTAGAAGCGAATAATTGAAAGCTGTAATCCAATGGAGCGGGAGCGACGTTTGATGGACGTGAATCATTTATTCGTGTAATCGTGTCTGGCGGTAATCGAGTTTCCTTTCCGGTGCCGGTGCTGGGACGACGAACCAATATCGGTGCCGTTTGTTGCATCGAAAATTTCCGACCGCTGATCTTTCCCGAGTTTAGGATCCGTACACGCGAAACGAGAAAGTGCGATACGCGAGGTGGGTCCAGCATCGCCTCGAGGAACGTTAATCTAAATAACGAAAGATGTCGAGGTAACGTCGCGCGTGAAATCGACGGATAAAATCGAGGGAGCGTTAGAACTGATTCGAACGGACACGCGGTGCCGGCTGGTTATTTCGACCGCGTTAATAAATACCGTCCAACTAACTTATAATAATAACACGCCGGTAACGCGTAATCGATAACGCGCGATGTCGTCGCCGATAATAGGAGAAAATGAAATTCGTTTCGGCTTCGATTCGGCGAACAATGCTAGAGGCAATTATCGATATCCTGTTCGCCGACGGGAATACTTCCTGATTCGCGTTAGCATTAATAAATCATTCGATCGTTGTCCCGCGGTTCTATCGCGAAATCGTAAAATGGCTTCCGGACGTCGTCGTTAATCGTCGTCGAGCAACGATGTCGCGAACGAGACGAAGTCGCGAAACCATTCAGACGCGACGTCACCGTGCGCGAACTTTCGTCGCGTTCCTGGAAGACTATTTAATCCAGCGAAATAACAACAACGTCAATTTAATCGGCGAGCGGCGCGCTGGAAATTAATAACGTCGTAAATTACTCGCGAGCTTTTTCCTTCGATGCCCGATAACAATAATCGCTTCGAATACCGCAGAGTGCGTCCCGCTTCCTACACCCTCCGCCCTTCCCCCGGTCACTAATTACACGCTATCAGGCATTATCAGGAATAAACGTTACAGGCCGCGGGGAGGAAGTTTCAGGGTAGATTGCCGTCGTAACAACAATCGGGCACGCGTATGGGCATCGTTAACGCGATACCACCGAAGAAAACTGTATTGATTATTCTTGGTCACCCTTCGACAACGGATACTTTACCGAACGGTGTTAATAAATATCGCGGCGAAATAGAACAGAGAAACCGATATTATTAATAACTTTGAGATCACGTAAGAGAAAAACACGTGGTAATCGCACCTAATCGCGTTTAAACAAAATAGTACAGATCCACACTTTCGCATTCGCG